CCCTTTCACAATTGGGTGCCTTTAAATACAAAATACCAATAGTCTTATTTTAAATCTTTTAACACTCTGTGCTGTTTCAAGTCCTTTACTTCACATGAAAAACTGTACACTTTGACCAGCACTGCATGTCTGACAGGCATGAGCATTTTTAACACTGCACAGCTCAATCACAGACAATCCTCCTACCGCTCGCTGTCACATATTGGTTTTGTTGCTCTAGGTTCCCTGTGGTCATTATGTGAATGGGGCCTGTGCCTGTTCTGTCACACTCTGATCACTGCTGTGATTAACCATTCACCAGGTACATCTGTCAGATGTGTTTCACTGTTACAGTTCCATACAATTTGGTTCCCGCTGGAAATCACAATGTCAAGTATAGAGAGGTTGGACACAGTACCAGCAACACCTGTGCAATCTAATGTAACCTAATGTAGTTCTGCAAGAAGTGTTCCAAGTGTTTTTGAAAATAATGCTCCATTTTTATTAAGACTATGCACAAGTGTATTAGAACAGCAACAATTAATGGACTAATCAATTAGCTGAATGAAAGAAACAGCAATTATTTTGATCATGGATTTATCATTAAAGCATTTGAGTTAATGTTTTAGTTTTAGACTTTTGACAATATTTCCTTGTGCTGCATTATTATTGCAATTGTTTTACAGTGACCAGTCACTTAATTGAGAAAATTTGCAGATTAACTGACAAAAGTGAATGAAAAACAGGTTAAAAAAAAAATATAAAACACACCACAAAACAACACTGACAGTACCAGCAACACCTGTGCAATCTACAAACCACAAAACAACACTTGGATGTTTTTATTGCAACCCTACTCTAATTCTGAATCTTTTTCTATTTATAACGAATATAAAATAACTTTTTAGACATGTATTAAGAAGGTGCACTGCTTAATGATTATTTTTAAGTCTGCTATTCTTTATCTCACTTACACCTACAGCATCTCCTGTGCTCTGAAATGCGCTTCCCTTTTTGCTCCAGGTCTTATTCTGGCACAAAGAGAGACAGGAGGAGGTCAAAGGGAACACAGATCTGAATGGTTCTGTCAGTAGAAACAGCTTCCCCACCTTGGTGAGCTCTTTGGGAAATCTTGGCCCAGCTGTGCACAAAAACAGACATTTTCTAGCAGATCAACTGGTCCCTTTGTTTAGAATAATTTGAGTCTTCTCTGTATAATGTCCTCCATTTTAGGTTTGTTTTTCATTTAAAAAAACAAAACCCCCCAAAAAAAACATCAGCTAACAGAGTGACAATTCAGAATTCAAATGAAGTCGACTTCCACACTTCTTACTGGTGTTAAGCAGCAGAAAATGCAAGGATGCAAGACATTTTACTGTTGAATATGGTCTCAAACTATTATAAGAAATACAATACATCTCCACTTCACATACACATCACACAATGAAAACCACCTATGCACACACAGATTGGACAAATTACCTCAAGACATGTCTGTTTACTTCTTTTGTGCTACTGTTACTGCAGTACCGTTGCTGCAAAATCACTGTATGGTGCATTTACACTCTTATTTATATTTAACACTGACCATGTGTGCATATCCAAAACTACTATTCATACTGTATAAAACATAACCAGACCTGCACATCCTATTTATTAGTTCTGTTAGTGAGGATGGATGTTTCTTTTTGTACATATTTCAAGTACACAAAACAATATGCAACAATGTAAGGAAGCTGTAATATGTCAGAGTACAATCATTAGCTTCATATATCTTTATAAGAATATTTACTGCTGTTTCTTTACCATTTCTGGTTAGACGCTAAACTTCATTTAGTTGTACTGATACTTACGGTGTGCACCGACAATAAATGTAAATCTATTAAAAAAAAAATATTGTATTATTTAGGTGGAGATTAAGTTAGAGTTGTTCTTAATTAGTGGATTATGATGTTGTGTCCTATCATGTCCTCTCTTTACCATACATGAAGAATCATAACAGTAAACGTTTTTGGACATTATCCTGCCTCATCTAGATACACCTTACTTTACATGTCATATCATTTTAAAACATCAACTCTAATTGTAACATTTAACAGAATATTACTGAGTAAAACCATTTTCCTGAACAGAAAGACGCTTTAACCCATTGCAAAGCTTCATACTGTACAGTAGGGATGGCTTTTTGGTACAACTCTCAGCTCCATGTGAAGTCAAGGGCATCCAAAGGGGCCTCTGTTCTATGTGACTTATAATGCATTTGCCCTCTGCTAAATAAATCTCAACAATACATGCTGTGGGAATAATAACATAATAAATTAACCATTACCTACTGTAAGCACCTGATATACAACCATAAAAGGACTGCAGGATAAAGTACCATTTCTCACTGAAAGGCATGGAGTTAAATCACAGAAAGGACTGAGTTTTTTTTTTATTATTATTCACATATCCTTCTGTGTGAGGTCGACTAGAAAACAGAAAAACTGGTATAGTTTGTGGCTCCAATGGAGAAATGTTGAACAGCTTGTCAGATCGCACTTATCCTGGTTGACAATAGCAATAAAGTTTATTACAGCACATTGGCTGGACTGCTTCACGCACAAGTTTGTACAACAACACATTAAAATCCACAGTATTGACCCATCAGTTTCATACTTCACTAGCTGCCCCATTTTCTTAGTTTTGCTATGCTAGATGCAAACTAATAGCAGGCTTTCAAAAAACAGCTGTAGTTCAAATATTATTTTCAGCTATGACTCACTCTTAGAAAGAGCAAAACTGTGCAGGAAGCACCAGATTTCACATTTTAAAACACTTCAGTGCCACAATATGCTGCAGAGGAGCAACAGAAGACATTCATTCAGCTATCATTGTTCAGAATCCCTAAACAGCACATAGTTGGAGACTGGCCTGTACTTGAAAAGCATTCATTTATTCCTTCACTTTAGCTGAGTTTAGTTCAGTTCCCTTTCAGTATCATTTGTCCCAGGAAAGCGATTTGTTTGCATTAAAGTGCACAGGAAGCATAAAGAACGATCCATCATACACAACAATACACCAGATTATTCAATGCACAGTAAAGAGAGACCCACGTGGACCATAACAGAGCAACAGAGGCCTGGAGTTTCAACTCAAAAACTTAAGCTACTTAAATGTACGCATTACATAAACATTATGCACTAGTGCACTGCTGACAATCAATCTAACAGCTTAGTTATTAAATGAACAGAGTACATCTGTACTGTAGTGTGTATTCAGTATATACAGTCTGACCCCAATCACTCCCTGCAAGCAAACACCAAACTTGACACAGACACAATGATAAACTCCTTCTCAGAGCCTATGGGTGGATGCTGAGTTGGAGGCAGGGCTTATAAAATGCCAGATGAGTGGCAGTGGCGCTGATAGAAGTATGTGTGGACTAGGCTTCAGCTAACTTATGCTTATTCTCCAAAAATGCACCTCAGACCATGAGGGGAATAAACTACCGCAGTGAACAGAGACTGGTAAGATTGATACATCGGACTTTACCAATCTGCCTCAGTAGTAAACTCGATGTGTTCTGCCTCAGTAGTAAACTCGATGTGTCACTGCACTTTGCATATCAAAAGCACAACAGTTCATAGCTTGAAGAAGATGAGCCAACCTCTTGCTCATGAAATGATGTTAATAATCAGCAGAATTAGTTAGGAATCATCTTCTGACCAGCAAGTCGTGGTTCGACTCCCGGTTAGTTAGGAATTCCAGTTAGGAATAAACCCTGGCAGATGTGTAGAGTAGCGGCAATAGAACATAGAACAGGCAATGTGCAGTTGGTAATGGTAAATGGACTGTATTTATATACCGCTTTTATGCACTGGCCAAAGCGCTTTACAGGGAAATTATACACCATTCACCCATTCACACACACATTCACACACACATTCACACACTGATGACGACAAGGATGCCACACAATGGCACTAGTCAAGCCACCGGGAGCAATTTCGGGTTCAGTGTCTTGCTCAGGGACACTTAGGCATGTGGGGAGACCGGGAGTCGAACCACCGACTTGCTGGTCAGAAGACGACTGCCCTAACTCGTGAGCCACAGCCACCCCATCTTACGCATCTGGCAACCAATGTATGGTGTGGCACACTAGTCATTAGGCATTAGGTAGCAAACTACCTAATGCCTTTGAGTTCAAATATTCCTCTAATGCTTAGCTAAATATAAACTATGTGGAGAGAATGTGAAAGTCACTGCTTATTCAGTGTGTGATAATTGCATGCTTAGTTTCACTTGATGCCGTTATTACAGGAAAATAATCATGTGAATGGACATTTACGTTAACATTTCTAAAGTCATTATAGAAGAAGTTCTATTGTGTAAAGCCATTATACCATAACATCCTCCACTTGAGACCCAATTTCTGATGAGCCAGTTGGCAACTACAAAAAACCATCACAAACCTTGAATGTATTTTTTTTTTTAAATCCCAAATACACAATAAGCACAAACTTCTTCCCAATGCAGCCAACAGCATTAAAGCATCATAACCCATGAGCAAACAAACAAGATAGTTAATTCCAGTCATTACAAGGAATTAGTTAATACCACCAATGAAAATAATAGATGGCAGCAGCTTGAAACCAGAAAACAGCAGCCAGCAAAAGCATCCAACATGTGGTAAGTAACGATGAAACAGTCAGCAGCAGCAACAGCCTGACAGCCAATATTTTCAAGCATGCAATAGACCCAAGTCCATGTTTGTGCCTTTAATGTCTAGGCCCATTACAAATTTTTGACAGAATGCTGATTTTCATAAAAACCAGTAGGCAGCCAGGAATGTTGTTCATTTTGAAAAACATAAAACATTAACACAATCAATCAACACACACACACATACATATATAACTATTCATATTAACACTAAACGGATGCATAGGTTGACTCAAATGTAAAGTAACTGTAGGCTGTATGTGATGGGCACAAACCTGGACTCGGTAGCTCAAGAAGCAGAAGCTACTAATTCTTACCTTAGTCTGATGAAATGAAGCCACAGTTAAACCATCACCGAAATATTTAATCCTCTGGTAAATGTTGTGGGCCTCTAGCTGCCACTAGGTATGACAGGGAAGAACTGTCCCGCCTTTAAATGCAGTTGTTGCTAACAGCAAACCTAAAATGACCAGGTAAATGAGTTGAACAGGTGGATTTTCTTCAGTTTAGCCGTGAGCGGGCGTTCGCCAGGTGTGTTTTCCTCTAAAACCCTGAACGCGCTGGCAGCCGTTTACATTTGTTTGGAAATGGAGGGAGTAACTTGGAGAGTAACTCAGTTTAAATGGACCGCCCTCCCCCTCTACCCGCATGTCCGCCATCTATAGTGCTGGAGCATGGACCAGAAGTGTAGGCCTTAATAGGTGTAGGTGTAACCAAATATTGGTCACGTGACAGTTGCAGCCAACCAGAGCTGACGTCCTGAACAAGGTGTCAGGATGTTTCCATTGGTGTAAAAAATGACTTTATTCAGACCACAGTTCCTTAATTATTTATTTGTTTGTTTGTTTATTTATTCTGCTGTTTAATACTCAGACCATGGTCAGATTGACCTCTTAGGGGGTCCTGGGGCAATTTTTTAAACTTGTTGTTTGGCCCCTACTGACCCAAGGTGTACATGGCAGTTTCATTATTGTCCCCAAAAGATTAATGGGAATTGCTTAATTTATTTTTAAGCAAAAACTTCTCCAATGTATATAATTGTTAGCTTTCAGTGATAATAAAAAAATCAGTCAAAACAAATAATTTGAATATGTTAACTTGGGCTTTTTATTCACTAAACAGTCAGTTATTAAGAGGACCTATTAAAAATGAACACCTTGACACGGAGTTTATATTCTCGCTTGGATTAGTTCTAAAAATTGATAGCTTGTCACCTTTTCCATTACAAAATGGTAAAATGTTGAATGGTGTTGCATGTTGAATTTTTTAACTATTTGCACAGCCTTTTTCACAGCAGACATTTTGACTTGTCAAAGTAGGAAAAGCACAGCACTTACAATAATAAATGTTAAATGCATTTCAGCAGTCATCCATTAGATTTTTTTACACCTGTGCATGTCATGTGGCCACATTGCTGTATTGAATGAGCTGAAAACTTTCCAAGCAGCTCATGTTCAGAACTATAGAAGAGGGAAGAAGCCTTAGCTGGTCCAAAAAAAAAGGTCTATGGCCTGTTTGTGCTTCTGTGTGTATGTACACATATATGTGTGGGTTGTGATGTGATGTGAACCCCTACTGCTGAGTAACCCCACTGTGTGAGATCTGACAGCTCCCACTGCTGTCTCTATAACAGGATAAAAGAGGGTCTATGTGTGTGTGACTCAGATAGTGAAAAGGAGGAGGAAATGGACAAAAAAAGAAAGAGGGAAACCAAAAGCTTTTCCTGGCACAAACATAAATATGTTCACTCAAGTAAATGTGTTTTTGAAAGCTTATCTGTGTGAGCATGAAAATCTAGGCACCCCACATCCTTTTGAAAACCACAACAAGCAAGAACATGCCTGATGGAATCTGATGGGCTGAGCATTACAGAATAAAACTAAATCTAAGATTTAAACCCATCAAATGTCTTAAATGTAATTACACCCTCAGCCACCATCTTCAGTCAACAACTGGCACCACAGGAACCTTAGATATCTTTCTTAAAACAATTTGAAGGCACCGAGCAGCTCCTCAGTTAACTTTCAAGTACCATTTTTAACAACTACTGCATAAAATCTTGTGTTGATAAGTGTTGATAACTACAATAAATGCACAGTCAGACATGAGCCTGCACTTCAAGATATGCATTTGTTTTCCAATTTTAAGTAAACAAAATGCACAATATTAATAAATGCACCCTTGAAAAGCTACTCAGGATGCACTTTTCAGTTCTGGGTCCTTTCGTTGTTTGGTTTGGAACAGTCCAATATCAGAACAGTTTACAGTGATATTTGTAAGGTGGTTTCTATTCTCTGAGATCTGGAGCATTTCAAAGCCTGTCTATGAAAAACAGCTTCTGTCAAATAGGTAAGGCATACATGGAGTACACTTATCAGCAGTGAACAGAATCCACCATTACATATCAGTGTGCTTAAAGCCTTAAGGGGTTATAAGGATTTCTGTATCACATTTTTCAGAAACAGCAGTTTTATCAGCAGAAAATTATTTCATAGCTTGAAGATACGACATATGTCTTTTGATTTACTATATAATTTGAACGGTGTATGCATGCTGAAGTAAACATTACATGTGAAGAATATTCCAGTGTTGTTTATATAATGCACAGAAAAATGCTCATCTTACTCACCTTGCTACATAGGATTTATCAGTGAAATGTACTGCCCTGGATCTTGGTCTGTTCCTGCATGCAATCTCTGATGCTGTGTTTATATGTTTGGTATTTGATTTGAAAGTTTTGGGTCAACAAAGTTACTGGCTACTGTGACCAAATAAAAAGATAATGACAGTGTAAATGCTCAAATGTAGTGTAGCTGCAGCACGAGCAGAGAAAAGACATAATTCATCTGTCTGGGTTAATGCTCAAGAAATGTGAACTTTTCCCACAGAGGAAAAAATAGAAAGTGTATAACACAGGTAAGAACAGCTTTAAGAAGTCTTATTTCATGTTTGATTCCTACATGCGCAACAGTTCTAAGCTAAAACAACATTTTGAAAATGTGCTGCGTCACCATTATATTTGAGACTGCAAAATGCATAAGGATTTCTCAAAGTAAAGAGAGCTTACCAAACCTGTTCAGGAAAACTTCTGGCACTTCCTGTGTTTTCTCAGGGAAGCAGTACTACAGAAAACAGCATGACGAACAGCGATGCTGGCTGAAAATCACTACATACTCTCCTGAGACGGCTGTAATTGCAGCCTGCTATCTGGCTGGCACACATCTAGACAGAATATTGAGATAGCACATACGGTGTCATGATCTCCCGTTTAAAATAGTGCACACTGTTTCACAATGGTGTGCATTACAAAGCTCAAACTGTGAGGGAGGAAGGGCATGTGATTTGGATGGACTAATTCTGAAAATAATTTCATTTTTAGTGCTTGAGCAAGCACTGCAGAATTTGTGTGAAATAAGCTAAGGGGGAGTTAAAGATTTATAATCATGAAAAACAAATTTAGGGGATGACTGTGGTTATTGTACTTCATTTAAACCAGACAGAAGAAAGCTGAGCCTTTGTTTTTGCCAATAACTGTTCACTCCAAAGAGCTTAAAATTTTATTGATGTATTTCCATATTACAGTTCCAGAAGAGGAAAGGAGTTTTCATAATCAAGTTTTTCAATTCGCACCAAGAAAGTGGACAATTGCTCATTCTTAATGTGGCATGCCATGTCATATCTGCTCAAGTAAATAGCTGTTTACTTTGAAGTGCGCCTCAACTTGCACACATAGCAATGTTTTATTAGTGCACAACTGTTCTCCACTGCAGCCTGTGGATGACTCATGCTTCTAACTAGGATATAGAGCCGAGGGCAATATTTGCATCTTGAAGCTTATCAAATAAAAAAAAAACCCAGACATGTTCATCGCTGTATGAAACTAAATGCCCATATCTTGCACACACACAGATGCATGCTAAGATGTCAGGTTCAGCGGGTTCGGACATTACATAAGCTTGTCAGGTCTGGGTCAGGCTTGGACGCCACACTCTCGGGCATGGGTTGGGTTCAGACAGAAACATGCAGCCTGATCCATACTCTACCAGGGAAACGTGGGAATATATTGGAAGAGTCCCCTCAACATCACATTCACTTTTCACTAACTGCTGTGCTAAATCCTGATTTAAATGAACTGATTACAAGCGCCAAGTAAACAATTACACTATGAAAGTTACCTGAATAACATAACAAAATGTTACTGCAATTAACATTTTCAGGCAACCAGTGATGCTAAAAAATGTTAAGTGAGGTTGCGGAAGACAGAAGGCTCCAAGTGCCTTGTTTTGATTAGCATAGTTGAATTACTGGAAGAAATGGCTCCATATCCTGAATTTCCAGTTGATTAGTTACACCGACCTACACTAATGCAGTCTAATACAATGTTCCCCTTGACTTAGTGTGTGAATGACTCCATCGGTCAACTTGACAGATCTACGAGACAAGCTTCTAGATCAAACAATTTTGGTCCGGTCTCGTACTGGGGGTTAATTCCCAATCTTGTCAAGTCTTTTAATTCACACTCAAAAATCAAGCTAGACCATCCCACTGTACAAAAACAGGAGAGGACGAGTTGTAGAATGGCTGTATACCTGAGTTTATCCTGGTTGTATCTGGGACTTCATTCTCATGCCTGGCCCTATAATGCCTCAGCATTGAGGAGGTGGATTTATTTAAGTAGGAAAGTTCTGTCGAACAAATGCGACATTTAACCTGCAGAAAATAATACGAATAGTAAACTCAGAGCCACTTTGAAATGAATTTGAATTCAGATAGATCAAGTGGGAACTCTGAGAGGAACAAGATGAAACAACAAGGAAATTAAAACAAATACCTTATTTTCCGATATGAGATCAAAATGGTCCCACACGGCGGAAACCTTTCTTTTGGCTTGAGGCTGCTCCATAATTCTTGATGAATGTGACGATGAACCGCAAAAGATCAGAGATTCGTTTTGGCAGATACATCCCGTTGACATATGCGCTTCCTTATAAACAGTTTGGCGCGGCAGCGTCAGTTCGAAACAGTTCCTGTATCGGTCACGTGACTTTCTTAAAGCGATACGCGCACCGACACGGGGTTTTGCTCTACGAGCTCGACGCATGTGGCGACGCATCGGTGTTGCCGGACCCATCACTAAATACAAGACCTGAAATTAAATGATGCCCCCATGAGGTTCTGTTGTTGCTAAATTGCATTGCTTTATACCGACATGTTTCTAATATTTGACCACTCAAATTTCTACCAATTATACATTATTCACAAGCCTCAGAAACGGCCATAACATTAATAACAGACACTCCTCTAAACAAGCTGAAGATAACCACGATAAACTGCAGGGCTGTTGTATACAACTGCATTAGCTGTGTACCACATAAACGAACAAATGTCTTACAGGGTCCCTCTTTTAGCCTGAACTTGCATGTAGTCAGCAAACAGGCCACTGCCTCCACCATTACTTGAGCTTAATTGGAAAGTGAGTGAAGGAGACTGGAATGATTTAAAGCAACTTTTACTTTTGGTTGGGAAAATTGTGATTGCTGTAATGTGAATAAAACAGAGAGTATGTTCTTCCAAAGCACAATCTTTGTCTCTCAAAAGGACAATCACTGTACTTCAGCTCCAATATTTTAAAAGTCTGTCACATCTCTCTACTGGAACCCAGCTAAATAACTTTAAAATGTTCAGTAAGAAATATCTTTGTCTTAACAATCCCGCAAAGGCACTGCATGACTAATATTTCTAACACTGACATAGGCCATCAATGATCTCAGTAAAAGCAGGATTTAAAGGTTAAGCACAATAAAACACGGCATATTCTTGAAAGTGCCAAGCTAACATGTGTGACTTTGCATATAGGGCCTTAGGGTAACAACCATGTATTACCGAGGATACACATAAGCATTCATTCAAACAGCTATGTAACAAGTCAACTCAGAAAAAGCCGTAAAACCTTCAGTAGTTGTAGGCCACAGTTAAACCGCAGATTTTTTTTTAACTTGAGTAAACAGCAGCTCCAGCAGTTATTGCAACCAACATGCAATGGTTGAAACCAGATAGTCATCTTAAGAGCCAAACTCAGTCCTTGTACTCCGTGTACTTTTTGGCCGATCCGCGCACCTTGCTGGCGGGGTACTTCATTCGGTTTAGGGCCATTTTACGAATCACCGCTTGCGGAAGGTCGACGCGACACTTCTCGGCGAGTTCCACCAAGTAGATCAACACATCGCTGAGTTCGTGCGCGAGTTGCTCCCGCTCCGACTCGGTCCAATCAGGCAAGCCCTCGGCCACCTCTCCCCGCCACTGGAAAAGCTCCGAAACTTCGCCGACCTCCCCCACCATGGCTAGAAGCAGGTTGCGGGGCTGGTGGAACTGGTTCCAATTCCGCTCATCCGTGAACTCTGCTTGCATCCGCCGAATATCCTCAATGGTGGGCTCGGGGCTGAAGGTGAACCTCTCTGGATGTACTGTTCCACCATTCTGCAGCATGGAGTGGATCGAAGCTTTCGTTGCTGCTCCGTTTACCAGAGCTAAGTTTGTCGTAGTAAAATCTTTTCTGCAGCCGTTTGAAGACGACACGTCATCTCTCACTCCACTAGCTTCCTTTCCGTTTGTGGCCATCATGTTGTTAGAATTTTATCAAAAGGTTCCGTGTAAAAACGACTTTTTAAGCTCTATAAGCAGCTCCCGTTCCACTACGTTGTGAAGAAGTCCCGCCAGTTGTCAGGCCGGAAATGATGCAACTTATATCGGAAACGAAAATCTTCGAGACTGGGTTTTGTAGTTTAATCCAAAAACTAGCAGCATAGACTCCATTTAGAAATGTCACTGTAAACAAACTACAACTCCCGTGCCGTGTTTTCCTGAAGCCTTACTGACAATATGGCTGCGTCCTCTGTTGCAGCAAGTGAACTGCTGCATAATACGAGTAAACATTTGTCAGTATTATATTCAAAGGCTCCGTGTGTAATTAGACAAATAAGTACATGTTTACGGTGTTATAATCAACCGCAGCTGAGAGCAGAAAGGTAAGCAGTCAGTGACGAGATTGATGCGAACACGTTTCTTCAACCGAATATTTTTCTATAGCAAGATACCTGGGATTTCAACCGAGCTCAGTCAGCAACTAAAACGAAGCTGTGTTCAAACGGTCACTCACAAGAGTAAATTGGAGCAATAGAGACCGTGAATAACTACATTATGGGAACAATCTGGTATCATTCTGTAGTCCTTCCCTTCCTAAGGGAGAGGAGCCCAGGTTTACATGTAACTGCAAAATGTCAAGGATGACACAACCAATTCATCCATACAACAAAACCAGTTTGTATCATCATATGTAACTTTCAGTTTCTTGCACCACAAAATCTGTAGTATCGAATCCCCATGATGGGATTGAACCTTTGTACGCACAAGTTGGCAACAATGGCTCTAGTGTGATGAGCATGAGCTCCCCAACCCTACAAAAGTGTTTACTCACGTTCACAACTCGTTAATGTCATACTCTCTCCACCCAAACTGTCTGACAAACATTATAGGCCATTAATAGAGGGTCCTGCCAAAAAAATCTGACCATGTAGGACAGTAGTGATTAAACATAGTTTGCATTATTCCCTGTTACAAGCCTGTGTCTTTGAAATTTCATGGTCCCAGCATCCCCAAAACCCTGGGTTCACTATGATTCACAGTTTACAATTGATAATTGAATGTGACTTTGTTTAGGTATGAAAGATGCTTTACTACCACTGTAACTGAACTGATATTTACCTGGCAGGGGAGATACCATGATCAAGAAGGTGGTTCACCCAGGGCGAGGCTCAAGACACTGACACCACCCCTCCACCCCCGACCTATTGTTGTTTTAAATGTGCTGTACAAATAAATTTAGATTTGATTACTACAGCATGATATAAGCTGACAAAATACTGTATACTAAAAAGAAACATGCAATCAGACAGTTGCACAGCAAGCAAGGACCTACCGTATGTTATTCCAGCACAAGAATTCTTGTACACCTGCAGCTAATTTGATCCGGGGTCCCCTAGTAGGTAGGTTATTTTGGCCATGTTAGATATCACCCTGCTGACATTGGCTGTTTTCATGTGCTGAGCAGTACTCAGTGACAAGTAATCTGACCTTTATGTGTATAATTGGTGGCATTCCCCTTTAACCTGAGGGCAAGTAGAATACATTGTACTGCATTCCAAGTTCAACTTTAGGCCTTAATCCAACCTAATCACATTAACACATGTTAAGAAGGAGGGCACTTGCTAGTGGAATAGTTTTTGGTGGGTAAGCAGAACACTGTGTCCCAATTCCATATAACATAGTAGCTGTATATATTATGCATTACCTCTAATCTTTGTAGCATATGTACAAGAAAACGTTTATACTAGTGGAAATTTTTGCATTTGGATATTCAGTAAACTCACAAAATCAAAAGCACAGAAATTTAAAAATCTAGAATGTTTAGTGATATTTTCAGTATACTTATACACTAAAAACTCTCATAATACCTTTCTAAGATTTAGTGTACAGTAGATTATTTAGACACCACTTCTGTTTGTGTATGTGTCTTTATTTTAATGGATCAGCCAGTCAGAAACAAGTGTTTTCCTTTGCCATGGCACACAGTTGCTTTGTTTTCCTCAGTCTACATGTTTGTAGTAGAGGTTTTCTTTGTTTGGTTGTACCATGTCTTGATTCTCTCTGCCTCAGTGCTTCTCAGCAGCTGGTTGGAGTGGTTGGCTTGGAAATTCATGCCCAGATTAACTCCAACACCAAGCTGTTTTCCAGCTCACCGGTTTGCTTCTTAGCACCTCCTAACTCCCTGGTGTCATTCTTTGATGCATCTTTACCTGGCACGTTACCCGTAAGTGTTTAACTGAAATCAATCAGAGATTACTTGTTTTCTGATCCCCTTCTTGATCAATCATCAGATAACGTCCCTGTCTGCCTCCAGGTCCTGAACAGACGATGTGTCGAGGCAGCCGTGATGACAGGGCTGGCTCTTGATTGCACTATAAACAGGAAGTCCCTTTTTGACAGGAAACATTACTTCTACGCTGACCTCCCTGTGAGTTTTTTGTTCCCTGTCCTCCTTTGTTGCTCTCTGTGCATCATGTAGGATTTAGTAGTACCTTATCTGATAAACAGCTGTGTAGAGCTGCTACTGTCCTGCACATCATTGCTTATAAGTTGCCCTTATCTGCCTCCAGCTTTTCAGTGACAATACTCCCAGTGAATTCTCCCAGCCATGAACTCTATTTTAAATAGTAAGTCTTGCTGAAGCAGCAGAAATGCTTTTTGCCACATGTACAGACGAATGATATCAAAAGCTGTTAAAGAAAATGACCAGTGATTTTTTTTTTTCCCCACTTACCAGCTCATTTCCTTCACTGCACTTCTGTTTTACATTATCCAGGTCATTTCCCTCTCCATGCCTTTGCAGATAATTTGATGATAAGCTTTTTTTCACATCATTTGAATCATTATTACAATCACACTAAAAGAAGGTAGAGTTTTCCAGTTTGACAGTTCTTGGTGTGATTTATTACACATAATCATGTCAATCTTTTAGTTTGATTATGAACCTTCTGACCTAATTAGGAAAATGAAAGCAAAGTAGTTAATTAAAATAAACTGTTTTGTAAACTGATGTCCTGGAGGTGATGCCGATCTTAAGTAGTTACCATAATGGACTTCACATAGACACCAGCTACACCGGATAGTATCTCACCTTTAATTGAAACAGCCTTTTCACAACTGCTGGGAGCATTTGGAAACTAGAGCGCATTGAGAGTGTCCCAAAACAATACATTTCAAGGCTGTAAAAGCAAAGCAGTGAGCTGAGAGATCGTAAAATGCTCTCTATAGAGCTGAAGGGAACAGGGTTGGGTTATAATTCACTGTGTGTTTATCACTGCGGGTGACACCTTTCACCTTAGATGTTTTCTGACCTATTGATAATGAAGCATAAATATGGACTGATGAAACTTTAAGCCTGCAGTAATCTACATGTTTTAAATGACAGTGTGACATTGTAAAAGGGATGGTTCCTAGTGAAGAATTATTACCCAAATCTACAGGTCCCTTCAGCTTCATGGAGCTTTATAATGAGTTTCAGATCAGTGTTTAGCTGTTTGGCCCACATCATTACTGTTGTGGAGAGTTGTTTTGGCTGCAGCAGGCAGCTGTTGCCAGCAGAAATGGTCTAAAAACCCAAAGTACACTACCTGCCCAGCACTGCACAGCAGAGAGATAAATATAGTGACTAGCTGGTGAACCCAGTGGGACATTGAGCAGTTAATGAGGCAGATATTTGTCATAGATGCTGCAGGAAAGAAACTGTGTTAATGTAAAGGGAATATTGGAGTTTAATGGGGTGCCAACACAACTCTAAATCAGAGATAATGTTTCTCTGTAACTGCTGGATATTAAGTAAGTTTGCTAACAAATTTACAATATTGACATAAAAGGTCATGATATGTCAATGTTTTATTCATAGCTTGTTTCCAAGCAGCCAGATGTATTTCAGGCAGCTTTAAATTCATCTTACTGCACTTTCAAATTTACTGCTGTTAAAGAAAGAGGTTGCACTGAATAGCAGTCTGATAAGGTCATGGTAGAGGTATCCCTGTCCTTAACACTAATATTTCCATTTAACAATCTTGTCCAAGTGATGTTCACTTTTCTCTCTATAATGGAGTCCTCGCATGGTGAGGTTTCACTGCCCCTCAGAGCCCCAGGGTAATCTCACCGCCATTATGATACATTTTAAGGCTTCGATGGAAAAGACAGAATGTCACTGCAACTTTACAGCAACTCGTCCAACAGAGATCTCTTCTAATAAATCTAGAAAGGTGCTGGAGAATGTTGCATTTTGACTTTCCAGTCAATCCTTCCCTGGTAAGATGTTATGCTAATTCTATTTGTATCGCACTGAAAAACATCTTTTTCTTTCTGTCTAGTGTCTCGAGCAGACCTGAGACTGTTGTGAAAATGTGACTGATAAAGCTTGATGGACCACAACAGTTTTCTGTGACACTTGATAGAATTTTCCCCCCATTTAATATTTCACAGACTTACTGGTTTTCACTAAGTGGCAGCAGTACACATTTTACTTAATAACTGTGATTATGATTTATTATCTCCCTAGAAAGTCCATGTTTCTTGAAAATCCCCTCCAGAAGAGCAGGGATTACTCTTGGGTTCCTCTTGCTCTCTTGTGTGTTAGCTGAAGATTGCATCACTTTTGCTGGCTTCATTGTCGACGGTTGACACACAGCTTGGATGATAATACCCAAATGCAGTTTTTATTTTTCTATGAGATTTCCCCGAACAACCCCTGGCAGCAGGTTGATGCTGGAACCTTTACTTGTGTGTACTGTTCACAATACCTGCTGTTAAAGCGTGAGCTGTCCCAGTGTTGTGTGAAACAGCTTGATAAACTCATGTGAGAATGGCTTTAATTAACCAAATGATGGCATAGTTTTAAAATTTATGTTAGTAAAACCAAAGCAGTAGCAGAAGAGAGGGAGAAATTATCCCATCCTTGAAAAATATATTGTATATTATTGATATGTTCCACTAGAAATCCCTGATTGCATTTTGTAAAACACCACAGTTGCTATGAAATGATTAATACCACTGTCCCACCAGCATTTCTTCTTTGAAGTGAAAGAGCAGGCACGGCACATATATACAATTTTTAACAGCCCTTTAATAACATGCCTCAGCAACTCAGCACTAATCTGCCAGCAAAAGCAAACGATTACTATTTCCTTGAGATATTAAGTTCTCAAATAGACAGACTTGGCCTGGCAATTGAAGATATGACATGCTTAATGAGAGCAGTGCACGTCTGCGTGACCTCGGCAGGTAGCTGAGAAGGACCTCAGTTACGACTGGCTTAGTCTGGTTTGTGTAGTGACTTTAAAATGAGTCAGAAAATGACTCAGCAGGTCACAACACAAAAATGAGTTTGGAGCATGTGTGTGTCTGAACCTGTGTGTGCAGTATGTGAACAGGCATGTTTCTGTAACTGTGAATATGAAAGGGTGTTTGAAGCTCATTAGGGTTCAGTCTGCTGCTGGGAAAACCCACTGTGGCTACCAGGATCTTATTAACAACAAACCTGCCTCATCCTTCATTATTTAGTCTGACAGAGTAGATTTATTATACAGGAAATGCAAATAGATCTTCACTTCTGTAGATGCTACCTAATGTGCAGCATAGCATGCTTGTGCTTCAGCCAGCAGAGACCAGATTTTGAACAGCAGTGACACAACTCACGAAAAGATTAAGTAAGAAACAGTGGATTTCTGATAAGCTGCAACAGCATTCACATAATCCAGCAGAGTTAAAGATTTAATCCACCAAGAAGAACAGAAACCGGAAAAGACAATTGCCAAGTGTGACTTTCTTCTCCTTTTTGTTTATTCTGAAATGAGGAGATGTGGCGGTGATTGATTGTGTCGATCAGGCATGTTGTGCAGACATCCAGTGACTATGAGCCCCCCAGTCTTTTCTCCCACAACCGCATGCTCTTTAGCATAGCTGTGATTAATGTTTAGTTCCTGTGATGTGGTTGCCGTAGTAATGTGGGAAATTAATACTTGGGGCAGAAGATTCTTTTAGGAATACAGGAGCAGATGAAATATTTATTCTCACGCGTTTGCGAGTAGAAACCTTGAGTGAAATGGCAGCGCGCCTGTTGCATTGTAATGAGGGCACATCCAATCAGCCAGCACTGTTTAATTCATGTGGCCCCATGGCGCCGACTGCAACATCCTCATCACTGTTATTCCACTGATACTGGGATTTAACTGAATGAATCCAGGAAATACTATCTTACATCCATAATTAGTTTTTTTTTAAATATATATAAAGTATTATAAGTAAGTAAATAAGTATTCCATTCTTAGTATCCATAATTAGTTTTTTTTTAAATATATATAAAGTATTATAAGTAAGTAAATAAGTATTCCATTCTTTCAGTTAAAATATCGCTGGATAATAAACTGAATTACTCACATGAATCTTTTACTGAGCTAAATCTGATTGTATTCATTCCTAATTTATAGGGGTTAAAGGAATGTGAATACTGCTGCCACTGTTCTTGTTGACTAACTTTTCATTACACCAACATGGTATCCCAACTTCTTTTAATCAAGTAGGAAGTTAGGTTTCTGCCACTTTAAGGAGCTGATATATTCAGTGTCTCAATAAACATGTTTTTAGGTTTTGGATCCTCTATTTACTACATAATCCTGCTGCTCAGAGTTTTGTCGTACCTTGTTTTCTCACTGCAGGCTGGATACCAGATCACCCAACAACGGCGGCCCATTGCTGTAGATGGCATGCTGACTTACAGCCTCCTTGGAGGAATAAAGAGAAGCCAGGTGATCAAGAAGAATGTCCACATCAAGCAGATTCAGCTGGAGCAGGACAGTGGCAAGAGTCTCCACGATGACGTCCGCAGCCAGACGCTCATAGATCTCAACAGAGCAGGTAACGTCAGAGAGCTTCACCATGAAAAGAAGCAAAGCAACAATAAATTTATCTTACTAATGTGTATTGACTGTGCAGCTGAAACCTTATTTAGCTTATTCCACTGTGTCATAGTCCTCCAAAAACTATTAAAGCCATTGCACTGGATGACCTGTTGTTTCATTACTATGTCAGTTTGAAATGTGGATTAATCTGCAGCTGAAAATAGTCCCCAACAAATACATAATTTACTACAGTTTGAGTAAGTTTTCTAAAAGCTGAAGTGTCCAGAGGTTTTAGGACACACAGTAGCTAAACCTTAAAAATGATTTAAAGTGATTCTGTAAATTTCAGTTGCTCAACAGTGTGGAAACTGTTGAGGTTTGTTACAGAGCTCCATGGGATAGATAACCTCAGACATGTAAAACACAGCTGTCTTCACACCCGTCAGGTGTAGGTCTAATGGAGCTGGTGATGGAGCCAGACATGAGCTGTGGAGAGGAGGCTGCTGCAGCTGTGAGGGAGCTTCAGCTCATCCTGCAAGCCCTAGGCACCTGTCAAGGCAACATGTCTGGTATGGAAATCCCTCTCTGTCTCTCTGCCTGCCTCTCTCTCTGTCTAGAGTCGCTCTGTGCATCTTTTACCTCTTCTCCTCAGAGGGCCAGCTGAGAGTAGATGCCAATGTGTCCGTCCACAGACCAGGTGAGCCCCTGGGCATCAGAACAGAGGTGAAGAACATCAACAGTGTCCGATACCTGGCCCGGGCTATAGGTAGGCACCAAAGAAGATTAGTAAAAGACTAGCAGGATGGGGTAAGAGTGTGTTTGATGTATATTCCATCTGAGTAGATCTTAACTGGTTACTGGTTGCTCACATAAAAGGCCAATTTGTGAGTTGATATTTGCACACATTGTCACCCTGAAAGGATTAGAAAATGTGTGTAATTACTGTATGTGTGTGTTACAAGCCAAACTGGCAGTAAAAGGTGAGAAACACGCCGTGGTGGATCATACATTTACTTAACTTCTGTACTCAAAGGAAGAGCTTGACATTTTGTGAAATATCCTTGTTTGCTTTCTCGCCAAGAGTTAAGTGAGAAGATTGTCACCGCTCTATGTTTGTACAGCAAATACAGTATGAAGCTACAGCCACCAGGCGGCCAGCTTAGCTTAGCATAAACACTTGAAACAGAAGGAAACAGCTAGCATGCTTCTTAATGAAGCCTACCAGCACTCCGAAATTGTAATGATAAATTAGCCTGTATTTCCTTTGTTTAATCTGTAATAAAACAAAAACAATTCACCACTTTATGGCATTTATGTACCAGATCATATGTCTTAGCTGGGACCAGTAACTTCCTGGAGTATCCACAGGTTGCTTGGCAACTCATTCTGGCCTGGTAATAGTTACAGTAGGCAGATCATAACCTCCTGTTTCTGTTTTACCCAGCTTTATACTACTACTCACCATAATTAAAATCTAAATATTGTATTCTACTTCACTACATGCATTTGAAAGCTTTAGTTACTAGTTACTTTGCAGATGATCTTATAATATATGATGCATTGTAATAGATTAAACTACCCAACAGTATATAAAATAGCTAAAATTACCTCTACCTTGATCAACTATAACAATAAAATGCATAAACTTTGCATCAGTAATAATAATCCATAATAGAGTACTGCTCGTATGGGCCATACAGTATGTAGCTGTGAGTATTTTTGTTACTTATATATACTATAATATTATTTTCACATTTTTCAATTTGTAGAAATACTGTTTAGTATTTCTACTTTAACGTATGCAAGTTAAGGCTCTTCAGTAAATATGTGTGTGAATACATGGGATTAACTCATTAAGTTGAGGACTGACTACCATTGTCGGCTCGGACTTCACTGGCTATTCACTGAGCTCCACTTAAAAAGCTGACAAAAAAGCTGCAGGCAGAAAATTTCAACATCTTACATGCAGGTTTTTAAACATGGGTTTGACATACTGAGGTGCTGTGATTGGCTTGGTTATCATGAATGTTCTGTTACATTTACTTTGCTGCTGAACTGGTTTTTAAATAGTCCTGGAGAAAAGCAGCATTTGTCACAGATATAATGTGGCAACAGTCAGACATCTGAGGATCACCAGTATATAACAGCAGGTGTTTGGCATTTACCACAAAATTGTGTCACAGTGGAATTTGCCAGTGTCTGTATTTGTGTCCATGTTGTATTTTATATCACCAGACTATGAGATCCAGAGACAGATTGACATCCTGCAGAGAGGGGGGACGGTACAAAATGAGACCCGTGCCTATGATGCCAAATTAGGGTAAGAGGATGAAAGAGCGTGGCCATGATGCCAAGCTTTAGCCACCACAACGCCCACTGACTGGGATCTCTGCCTGCTTCATTAGTCCCTAGCTTTACGGAGGAAGAACCATCATGGTAATGATGATGAATAGAGCCATTTGGATGCTGCCGTCATCCTGTATTATCTATGAGCTATGTGCTACTCACAGGCTTATGAGCTCACAGAATGAGCCAGCTCCCACACAGCTGAGGCCTTGATCTTCTTATGGTGCTCTGCCTCCTTCCCATGAGGCCTTGGCTGTTCAAGGTTCACGGTTAAGCATGTTATAAGGAGTGGGTGATGGCCTGTGATTGGCTTTTTCTTATTGCTCTTGTGGAAGTGGCTACAGATCCAACTGCACCAATTACATTCCTATAGCCAAAATGTACATAATCAAATGTCAGCCAGAAATTCAAAGATACTCAGTTTACTATTATAGAAAAGCAGCAAACCTTCAAGTCTGAGACTTTGGAACTGGTGAATATTTGATATTTGTTGATTATCAAATTTGTTGACAAACTAATTGATTAATTGTTTCAGTTCTAAGAGGTTCTATGCAATTTTAACTGCAGTTCCTCCAGTTAAATTTCTTGTGGTGCCTATTTTGTAAGTTTATAAAAGCTCAGATTCTGTCTATCAATCAGAATGCTGATAAAGCCAATTAACGATGTCTGCATCATGTCTTCCAGGGAGACCATTCCTATGAGGGACAAAGAGGGTCTTCAGGATTACAGGTGAGTTTGTGGGCTTCCTGTATGCTGGTAAGTAGTCTTATAAGTATATAGTGCTTTTCTATGCAGTGAAGTGCACTCAAAGCGCTTTACGCTATTTCCCATTCACCCATTGACACACCCAAGCATTCACACACACACTGATGGAACAGGATGTGGACTGGTTAGCAGACGACCCGCTCTACCTCCTGAGCCACAGCCGCATTGGTTTTGTCTTAGACGCTTGTGTCTGTTGATGTGGTTATGATACGAGGTCGATCTTGCCCTCACTGGGGACTGAATGATGATCAGAGCATTTGAGTGGCAGCTAGATGGATAGAAATAAACAGACATCACTGAAGGTCTGGACCTCAGTTGTGTGTGTGTGTAATTACTGTGTGTGTTTGAGTTTAGGAGGGAGAATGATAGACAGACAGGCTGTTGGGAGTCAAATGATTATGGGTGGGAGAAAGTGCAATGTGACAAGTATAGTGTCAAGAGGTCCATTAGTATGCCAACAAAAGTCAGCCTTCTCTAAGCTTATTTCTGCTGATAAAGCATTTCCCCTCCATCCCTCCCTCCCCTGCCTTTTTTATGCCTCCCTTCCTCCCTGCAGGTTTATGCCAGAGCCCAACCTGCCCCCTCTGATTGTGTTTGAGGATAATGCATCGCTGCCCGCTGGCATTGATGCGTGCCAGGCGGTGGTGTTGCAGAAGATAAGGGAAGGGCTGCCAGAGCTACCTAGTGTCAAAAGAGACAGGCTGGTGCAAATGTACGGCATCCTGCCCGAGCACAGCTTCACTCTGGTGGTGAGTTTATAAGCAGGTGAAAGCAAGCACTCCCTAATTCTGATCAAGTACAAGCAGAGTCAACATGGATGCGGTTGTGCTGGAGTCCGCAGATGGTCTGATTTGATCCAGATTATATCATATGCACGTGAAGTGATAAAAGCGTTTCATGGTGTTTTGTTGCAGAACGAGGACGGGCTGATGGAGTACTTTGAGGCGGTGCTGAAGGAAACCAAAGCGGGGCCAAGGAAGGTAACTGGCTGGGTGACAAACGAGCTGTTGGGTCAGCTCAGACAGCAAGACATGAGTGTGGCCCAGAGGTGAGAAGCACTCCAACAAATTTCTTCATGTAGATTTTACAGTATTCATTATGTTCACAGTATGTTTGTCTTGTGGTTAGAATTTGTTTTGCCAGTATAGCGCTACTCTGTGGCCAAAAATCAGGTCTTAGATACCAGGGCCCTAGCGCTTGACCCCTGTGAGTGTCTTGTGATTGGCTCACTTGCTTTGTAAAGTCACTTTTGGTTGATTTTGAGCTGTGGCAGGAGGATGGAACATGTACACGTAGTGTACATCTCATGTCTTTCTTTAAATATCTCTTACATCCTGCGTAGGACGTTCCAAGTCTCTTATATCGGCTCTGATGAGTGAGGATGGTGCTGGAGGAGCCATGACCGAGGATACACGAGACCATCCTCACAGAAGTTTTTTTTTTTTTTTTGTGAACTGACACGCCCCGTTATCAGAAATCAGCTGGTGATTGGGCACTTCAGGTGAAGGAACTGAGGAAAGGACGTCTCATGTCATTAATAATGTGATACCAAAAAGCAGACTGGGGCAGCGTAGGGAGGCCTGGCATCAAACAGTGTTCCCATGTCAACAGAGTGAAGTTGCAATCAGTTTAAAATAATGAAATTACTTGCATGGAATAGCCAGAAGCAAGAAACAGCATGGGAAGTGTTGTAAGCACGAACGGCAGCAGCTAGGCTAACAACCGCCGTACGCAAAGTTGGAAAACAACACAGGAATTTATCAGATATATTACTGTCATGAACCTGTCACAGTGTTCGCGCTCACTGCAGCTAAACATCATCCCTTCTTATCTGCTGCTTGTGTTATTTTGCAGTGCAGGTATAAAGTAAGAGCATAAACAATAATTTCTGAATTCCACATCAGCAGGACATCGGAGAACCTCACAGTTTAGCCTGTTAAAGTTGATTTAATGCTGCTATTATGCACAACAGTTATAGCTGGTATCATATTGAATCAAACCATTGTCACAGTCCTGAAGATGTTCAGTTTACTTAGTGAGAAAAAGCAAAAGTGGCTGCTGAGTTGGATGAAAGCAAAAATTGCAGTGCAACAAGACGATAATAACAAGCTCATAACAGTTACTGCTAATGCTCACCCTTGACACAAATAATACACCCAAACTCAGCTGTTTTTGGCTCAATGTGAGGTGACATCAGAATCTAAATTATCAAACTGTTGCCTCTTTATCCCCCAAGAAGACCTGCACTGGATTAATGAGACTTTAACCACAAAATAGATCTGATCTGTGCTGTATAGTGTTTTATATTTAGGATACAGGCTCTGATTTAAAACCCTATCAACCTTAGAATAGGTGTGTGTGTGTTTCATCCCTGAAACATTCTACACCAGACTGATTTGATTGCCATCACGCGTTGTTCACAAAGGCTGATTAAACCATTCCATACCGTACAACAGGAACATGTGATCTGATATTTCCACTTTCTTTATGTCTGTTATTGGCACAACCACTGCGACAGTCCAGACCGCCCCCAGAGCGAAGCCTGTTTTGACAAATCCAATTACATTAGTGAAATCATTACATCTCAGAAGAAGGGGCTGTTTTCATCTCTTGGTGGTGTTAGCTGGAACATGTTGGATTTTGTAAATGTTCCAAAACACTTGAAATTCAATAAAGTCTTTTTGAGATTTTGCTGCAAAGAGAAGTTGCCATGGAACCTTTCATGCTTCAAATAAACGTGAAGATGCCTGTCTAGCCACTGGCTATGAACAAGTAACGCTGCTCATCTCCCACTGATGCTAAATATCAGACACTCATTTCAGTCTAGCAGCTTTCTTAAAAATGACAGTTAAATAGTGACTGCAGCTAAGAGAAAAATGCAGACGATGGATCCATCTGTGTTTGTGAAGCTCAGCCACCAGATCACAACTTTAGAAACTTCACGTTAGCTTTTTGACTCAAGCTAAGATCAGCAATATAGTTGAAAGTATAATAAAATTTTCTCAGGGAAAAAAAGCTCTGCGTCATTACAGAGCAAATGAACTTAAAACAAGCAACGGGTTCGACGTTAGCACAGATGCGCTGAGCTTTTCTTTATCTCCCTTTACCAGACTGTCGTGAAGCATTTGTGTGTGAGTAAATCATAAAGTAGCTGGTTTTTATTTATGCATGATGTTGCATTTGCTTTGGCTGAAAGGAGGGGGGGGGAAGAAAAAGAGTGGCTGCCAGGACTCTGAAAAGGCAGGGAAAACAGAGAAGCATAAGTACTTAGAGAAATGTTTTGAGTGCTTGGAGCCAGGAGAAAATAAGTGGCAGTTTAGGTACCAAGTGAAATGTTTTGAACAGTTCTCTCAAAAAAGGCAAGTATCTGCGCTTTGGTTCATATGATCATGACCAGGCTCTACTATCCTGTCAAGGCTGCACAAATTTCCTCTTGCTCCTTTGACCTCAAGCCCAGATCGACGGTTAGACAGAGGGAGGTTTGTAAAAGCGGATACATTGCATCTGTTTTTAGGCCATGTTTGGAGAAGATTTAGCTGAGATTGAGTATCGTGCCTTCAGTCTCCGTATTCATTTAATATATTCTAACAGACCTTTTGATTCAGTTTGTCTGGTAACCTGTGGAACAAACAAGCAGACATAGGAAAGAAAGACCAAGTCGGATCACTGATCCTTTCAGTCTGACACTGTTTCTCTCCCCTTGTCCGCCTCCATTTATATCACTAATTCTTCAGCTCATCTCTTCAAGTGTAGTTAAATCATCCCTTTATTTGATTTCAGCCTGATATCACCTCTTGCCTTGGCTGAGCTGCTGGAACTCCAGGAAACAGGGCACATCTCCTCTTCAGTTGCCAAGCAGGTGAGTCAGCTGCACAGACCTTGCAGTTATTTCCTTCCATCTGTCACTCAGTATACACATACATGGCTGGTGCTCATTTGTATTGTGGTTGTCACACAAGTCTTACTGGTTTCTTTCCATTCTCAGGTGTTCCAGGAGATGTGGTCATCGGGTAAGACGGCCTTGCAGATCATCCAGGAGCAGGACTTGGGGCTCATTAGTGACACGGCACAGCTGCACAGCATCTGTCAGAAGGTGGTGGATTCACACCCTGATGAGGTGAGGGCGCCCATGTAAAGTCTCACTTGTATTACATCGTTTTTTGGGGGGGTTTTTTGCATGTTTGAGATGTTTTGTATTTGCTGTGCCTGTCTGTAGGTTCATGCCATCAGAAATGGAAACAAGAAAGTTCTAAACAAGTTAATGGGCCTGGTAAAGAAAGAGACCAGAGGTAGAGCCGACCCAGTTCTGGTGAGGAAAATTTTGCAAGAGGAGACTTCGTGAAGGTTGAACTGCTCTGCGAGACCCAGACCCATATCACAGCCATTTGTGCAAAGAAAGATACGACAGTGATGTAGATCTTTATGAAGAAGCTCATATGGAGAGTATATGGCAGATTATATGGTACCTGCTCTTCTGTGGGTGGATCAAACTAATGATGGCCAAGCTGAAATGAAGATACCATCCTTGGTTCCTGAGAGGTTGACATTTTTGTAAATACTGTACATTTCCACCAGACAACAGCCATTATCTTCTGTAAGTGCTCAAAAAGTAATATAACTCATTATATCACCATCTGGTTTATTTAGTCAAAAAGCATACGTGATTCAGCCGAGTACAGTAAATACATGTTTTTATGTACTAATAAACAGATAAGACCTGATGAGTCTTAAAAACAGGTGCACTGATTAACAGTGGAAAAACAAAATTAATATTTAAGATAAATTTAATAATCATGTCAAATTGGAAGCAGTCTTCTAAACCCACCTGCTTATTTGGTATTCAGTATAACCTTTTCAGTACAAGATGGCCATTTCCATACTGCCCATAATGGTCATCTGTGAGGCCAGAAGATGAAATTGCTGTTGTGATGAATGCTTTCTTATCAGGAGAGGCAACAGACTTATCTCAGATATCCAGGCATGAAAGTGATCAGTGAGCTCCCTCTTGTGGTTGAAGCATGTTATTTGTCCTGTTGTGCATTAAATATGGATTCTTTATGGCAATGGGGTGCAGCTCCTTTCAAACATAATTCCTATGGCAATGGGGTGCAGCTCCTTTCAACAATATCATAATTCTCTGTGCCTAAAAAAATCCTAAAACCTGTCTTCTTCTTCTTCTTATCTGCACTTCTTCACTATGTTTCCCTAATCAGTTTGTCATGTCAGTAATATTCAGTGTACAGTCAGTGCAGTTTAGTCAAATGTGGCCATTTCAGATGTCCATCCGTCATCTATCCGATTATTCTGGAACAGGGTCATGGGGGGGCTGGAGCCTATCCCAGCTGACATTAGGTGTGAGGTGGGGTCCACCCCGGGCAGGTCACATTTCAGATGTTTTATTTTGAAAAAGTCATTCCCACACTGCTATGGCACCTGATCCCCTGTGGAGATCAGCAAATGACATCGTTAAGAAGTAACTAATTTCTTGTGCAAACAAGTCTCATTCTCTAGGACACGTGGAGTGCTGCCATGTACTCAGCTCCAACTGTGTGCAGACAGACTGTTGTGACTGCACAGCTGCTAAAGTGTTGTCATTACAAAATGTTTTTTTTTTTTTGAAATGGTTGTACAGGTTTCAGGAGAAGATATCAACTGTTGAAACTCTCATGCTTTTTTTTCTGTCTCTGCAGCTTTTGATGAGACTGTAAATGGGAGCAGGTTCCTGATTGGTCTTTTTGACATCAGCACCCAGAGCCTCATGCTTTCCTCATTTACAGTGTACCCAGCATTGATATAGAGTTTCCTTTGTTTGACCCACAGAATAGCCTGCTTGCGTGCAAAGGCATATAATGGTGGAGTTTACTTCTCCATTACAATTTGCTTAATCTCTGCAGTACATCAGTTGCCGCATGAAGTGTAAGCTGATATGTTTACCCAAGAACAAGATGTGGTCCTGAACAAAAGCTCCCTGGGGGAAGGGCTGTTCAGATGGGAAATTTGTATTAAATGAGAGCATCAATGTACACAGAACAAACAGCTGCAAGCCACCTCTGGCAAAAAGGAAAGAACATATTAAAGATGTCTGGTGAAACCTGTTAGAGAAAGCAGCAGGTTTTCTGCTTTTATTGCATATTTTAGTTTAAAAAGGGGGGAGAAAGCCAACTCAAGTGCATTCAGGTTCATTTACCAGATGTTTTCTTTATTAAAGGAGGCACGCCTGTGTGTCTCAGACATCAGCAACAAACAGCAACTGCTGGTTATTTCTCTGACAAAAAAAAAAAACTGAGGCCAAATGGATGAAGCATTTGGAACCTGTTTTCATATCACACTGCTGCTAAAACAGTGGTTATTATACTGCACTGTGTTACACACACTGAGTCTGTGCTGTGCTGGTTGAGGGCTGTGTCAGCAGTTCAGTGACACTGGAGTATGAAAAGACTGATAAAGTGCTCTGCAACATTCTCGTACCAGAGAGAAAGAAAGGCTTATTCAACAATTCTGAAAATTGCTTTGATACAAATGTACATTTCCAAACCATTTTGTAAAAAAAAAAAAAAAAAAAAAGAGCAATAGCACACAAACATCTTTCTGCATAATTCATCGCCTGCATAGCAAGTGGAAACTGAATGGATGTAAAGAGGGACAAAACTACACAATCAAGATTAAAAAGTTAAACCGTTCTTGATCTTATTAAATGAATTTATGAGATGACACTGCTTAACTTGGAGGCTACACCTCCTGCATTCTTCAGGTAGTTTCTGCTAAATGTATGTTACTTTCTGTTAGATCTACTCAGCGGTCCGTTATCTGTCGGAATCTGATCAAACTACCAGAATGAATTAAGAATAATCAGCTTTAATCGTCTGTGTCATGTAACAGCCACAGTACAAGTTCTGTTAAGAAATGTTGTCGTTTCTTAGCTAAGTGTCCATATTACATTAATTCCATGGTTTTGTCGGGTTATGGGGGGGGATGCGGAAGACGATTAGGGCCACTGTAAAAAAAATTATTTGAGTTCTGACTTTAAATTCTGACTCTCAGAATCTCAGGATTCTGACTTTTTTCCCCTAAGGATTCTGACTTTAATCTCAGAATTCTGATTTTTTTTTTCTTAGAATTTAAGTTCTGACATTTTTCCAACCGAATTCTGACTTTGAAGATGACCTTTCTAAGGATCAAGGTCAGAGCTTAAATAAATGTTTACAGTGGCCCTAATCCTCTTCCATAGGTGGATGGTTTTTTTTTACTTCTATAAAATATCAGCAACTTAAATCCATAATCTTTTTAGATGTTACGCAGTTTAAAGCTAATATAAAACAGAATGAGCAGAAATATGGGGTCAAACCACTACACTGTATACTGCACTTCAGTCCTTACTGTATGGCCTTTCATTTACAGTTTGACAATGGACAACTCGCTTTGTAACAAAATCACGTTAGATTTTGTTTTAACAATGTGAAAAATAAAGGTAATTTATAACAGGCTGCGCTCAGTAGTCTTTAGAGTCTGAGATGGTTTTCAACAGATGCAAAACTACGACTCTCCCAACAATGATATTTCAGACTTACAACTAAAACAACACCTGACGCAATCCCTGAATACAAGAAAGTGATACAAACCATAACTCAAAAGGCCCTAGTATAAGTTTGTGGGGGAAAATGGCTGTAGAAACTACCAAAAATACTTAAATACCCTGTCCCACTTAATTACACCCACAATGTCCTTGATTTGCATAGTATTCTATGTCATTACAACAATTTTTTTCTTATGGTATGTACATTATAAAGCATCACTAAAGTAAGGCAATTTAAATATTGCATGAAGAGTCCTGGATTTGGTGTTAGGTTCTGGAGAACATGTGGAGCCCAGCAATGCAAGAAACTAGTGCATCACAGGAAAATTGCTTTATAAGATCTAAGCGAACTGAAAATGCATTAAAAGACTCCTGAGGTACCATCATGAATGAAAAACACCAACACACTGTGCATCTAACACACACACACACACACACACACACACACACAAGGATTTTGTGGGAACACCACTTTGTAAAGTTTAAAGACAAAAGTAACCAACCTGCATAAGAACAGAGAACAAAGTGAGCAGACTGTATGTTTCTGCGATGATGGCTGCTCTGCTGCCACCCAGATACAAACAGTTAAAAATTTTATTTCTAGATGTGTAATCCTATGGCAAAAAAGCCACAACAATCATGTAAAGGCCACCTGAGGATTTAACAGAGCCACACAGTTCTGTTAGAGCTGGTTGTAGAAGATATGCATACCGAAGGGAGTTCAGATAAGGGCTGGTGACCGCTTTAAAAAAAAATCCTGTTTTTGTTAAAATCATCCCTCTGCAGTCTTTGGTTGTGGACCTCGCTTTTCGAGGACACAGTCTTCAGCAAACAGATTGAGACTTTCCAGCTCAAAGTCTGGACATTTTACAGAGCTACAAATATAAAATTAAAAAGAAAGTGATTATCTTAGCTTGGAATCTAAGCAGCAGTGCCTGAAACAGAGAGACAACTATAAGCTCTTTCACAATGAAGCTGGACTCATCACAGAGGCCTACTGGGACATGATTACTCTTCCATAGGAATGTAAGATAAGATGGAGTGCTCTTGTGCAAATGCAGCCAGTTCTTTAAGGAATTCTGTGAAGAGGACGGTAGCAAAGACTTCTGTCTGATCCAGAGAGATGGCTTTGGATTTTGGTGGCGGGGAACTCTTCAAGAGCCTCATCGCCTCGCCATGGATGGAGCCACTGCTGCTGTTTCTGTCTAAAAATGATAATAATAAAGATTTTATCTGTTAAAATGACAAACATGCCATGCATTAGTAGGAATTTAAAACATTTTGTACCCCCTTTAAAATTTGTATCTTACATATTGTAGCTTTAAATATTAATGGTTTATGAACTCATACTGTTATATATCTATGAGCAAATAGAGGTAGAAACCATAGATGGCATACAAAGAAACATCCTCGATGTGGGTGTATTGTCACCAGCTGCTGTGAATGACGCCTCCCTAGCCAGCAGCCAGTGCTGGGCTGCGGTGAGCAGCTCGGGGAAGTCTTTTCTGGTGGCAACCACCTGTTCTATCTGGTTCTTCACAGTAGCTAGTACCTGGCAGTTAAAAAAAAATAAAAAATTAAGATCCCATTCAATTTTGCAGTATTTACACTGATGTAATTAAAGGTAAGCTCATGAGAACTTGAAAATCACAATGGTGCAGCTGATTGTGACAATTAGTTATTAAAAAATAGAAAAGACAAAGCTTTCATTTTATTTTTCTCAGATTTCAAACAGTTCATTGTACATCTATTTTTAATCACACTCATGAAAAGTAACCTGCATGTTTCAGCATCTTTCAAGTAATGCCATAAAACCTAAATCTTTCCTGAGGGGAATAAAAAGCTCATGCCTGCTTACACATGTATGCTCACAACATGTTTGTGTTACCTGATACAAGGAGCGAACAGTTGGTTGAAAGACTAGGTTGGTGTTGAGGAGGAAAGAACGCAGGAGGGGCTGAGGGTAGGCCGCCAACTGAGCCAGGATGCCCGTCAGCAACAAGTTGACATGAAGCGAGTTAGACAGCATGTTCTCCAGACGAGACAACAACACACTCACAAATGGACCTGCAGAAAGAGTCATTAGAAATATCCTTTTAACATGATTTTTAACAGAGCAAAGAGTTTCCTTTGCTTACCTGTAAAGGGCACTGAATGGCTTCTACTTGCACTTCTGCTGGAAAACGTGTTCCCAAACGGTAACTGCAGTTTCTCTGGCTCCGGTGTTTCAGCTGAGAAGGACGTGAAATCCATCTCCTCCTCTTCGTCCTCTGCCACAGGTCTGACAGACTTCTTCAGCTCTCTATCAGCTTTAACCGGTTTGCCACCCGTTTCTGTGTCCAACGTATGAATGAGTTCCTCATATTGAGCCAAAAGGTCATCATTCAACTCAGAAGCAGGTGTGTTTTGGAGATTTGAATTATGGTCTGTTTGACCTTTAGCCCTTGTGTCCAAATTCTTCTGGCCATTTTCAGCCATCCCAGAGGTTGGAAGTCCATTTCTCAGGGGAACTTCTGCTGAGCCTTGTGGTCCCTCTGATTCTGACCGGCTGGGTTTGAGCTTCCCTTGCTCAGCAGCTTTAGTGTCTTTCTTGGCAACAAGATCATAGACTTTGACATCATCCTGGAACTCATTTTCCTCAATGTATGAACCTTTGACCAACATGATGGCTGTTCTCCTCATCTCCTGGATATGCTTTGGGGGCTCAGCAGGAGGCTCCTGCAGAGGTTTACTCTCCGCAGGAGCCTCTTCAGTCTGCACCGGGCACGCGTCGTAACTATCATCCCACTCCAGCTCCAGCTGGTTGACAGAGGGTGGCTGTGTATTCTGCGGTGGGCAGGGTTGAGGGCGTGGCTCTAGCAGCTGTGGAGCTCTGTTTAGACCCATCTGGTTTTGTCGACCAGTCAGCCCCTGTTCCTCAAGGACACCGGGCTGGTATTTTTCAGGAGGGGGGTCCTTCCCGTCGTATGGGGCTGACCAAACCTTGCAGGCTCGTATGCAGCTGGTGATATTCAGACGGGCATCGCGGAGGTAATGAAGGTAACTGACATCCAGGTAGATTTCTGACCCGATGGTGCAGGAGTTCCCTGAGTCATCATTCTCTTCTGAGAAGTGCTCTTTCACTTCTGTAGACAAACAAACAAAAACGCTGATTTTAATAAAAGCACTTCACTACAGCACTCACACAGCAGAGCTAATGAGTCTGACGTGTAACTACAGGGAGTAAAGTAAAACAAAACAGCAGGAGGTCTCACTCCTTTATTTGATCAAATGCTCATCATCCCTGTTATTTGTTCATGTCCCAGTTAAATGCAGATCAACACCTTGCAGTGCAATGGGCTCAAAACCACATGCTTGAACAGATTTTGGGAATGTTAATAAGTTGTACTAGTTCTATAATCCTTTTGTTTTAACAACCTGTCCAGGGTGGAACCCGCCTCTCACCCAATGTCAGCTGGGATTGGCTCCAGCACCCCTGCGTCCCTATTCAGGAATAAGCGGTATAGATGATGGATGGATGGATGGATTTTGTTTTAACCCTTCTCACTACCACAGTGATTGCTTCCAGTTTTCCTCCTATGCTCTTCCAGTATGCTAAGAGGATATGAACAGTAAGAATCACCTTGCAGCTGATTGGAAAGCAGAAAAACCCAAATAACACCTGATTACAAATATGCCTGAAAAGCAGCAATTTCGTTTGAACAGACCACACGGTTAATTACTGAGATTTGGGGAGAAAGCAGCATCACAAAAAAGTCAGACAGGGCAAGGAACAAGAGCAGTCAGACTATTATACAAGATTTAACAGGTTCCCTTTGCAATGAGAATTGTTCCTGATGTTTGATTTGTTACACGTCTGATTATCTGATCCCTTGTGTTTGTTGCCCGGACTGACTTAACTGTAGTTACACTGTTATTATGAACCATTAAAACATTGTTGAAAAAGTGAAAAAAAAAATAAGATAAGCTGTAATATAGCAAACAAAATTTAACATTAATGTTCTGTACTTCTTACCTGTGCTAGAAGGAACCAAGCTGGTGCTGTCAGGAGTCTCTACACCTTTGGAAAAGAGGATGGAGTCTAGCTGTCGGAGGGGCGGGGGGCTGTGGTCAGGAGAGCAGCAGGATGGTGTTAAAGCCAGAATCCTGGCTGCCGATACAGAGTAGCAGTCCCTCTCCCTCACCACACATCTCTGACTCAACATCATGTGATTACAGGGGATCAGGTACCTGGAGAGGCAGATGGAAATGAATCCTGTTAGTGAAAACAGCAGGTAGTAGGAGGCAGGAGGACCATTATGGTAAAACAAGTCTGCATGGTGAGTGGTAGAGAATAAAAGCTTATCATGTCGTAAACCAATTAGATGTGCCAGCTTCATAACTGGGATAAGCCAGTGTGTGAGCCACTCACCTCAGTATGAGCTGCAGCATCACATCTTCACAGTATAAGCCAATGAGAGTGCGAAAAAGTGCCAGTGACACAGTGCCTAACTGGAGTTGAATGGAAAAACACAATGAAACACGGAACACATAAATCAGAAATCAGAATCAGAATCAGCCTTATTGGCCAGGTGTGACGGACACACAAGGAATTTGACTCAGGTACATCGGCTCTCAATGTGCAAACAGTAAACCAGCATAAGGCTGTGTAATATAACAAAATAGCAGTATTAACATCAACAAACAGTGCAAACAATGCAGAAAAAGCAGTATAAACAGACAGTAAACAATGCAGACAACAAAGAGGTGACAACATCAAATGGCTTTTTAGATTTTACCGCTAAAATATACATCAAATGTAATCCATTGGATCAGCTGGTCTGACAACCAACTGACTGGGCTCTTCCATTACCTGGAAGGGGGTGTTGATGCGGCTGACCAGTGTGTCCAAGATATGGACGTTCTCATGTTGGTGGAGGAGGATGAAGGAAAGGAAAGTCTGCAGCAGGGCTGGCTCAGAAATGCTTCTCAGGAAGAGGTCAAGGTACGCTGTGGTGGTCATCACCTCCTCTAGGGTCAGCTTCATGGAGATAGGAATCATTACTCAGCATGTAAGTGTTTGTGAGTGAGCGTCGGGTCAACTAACACAGCAAATAAAGTCATTATGCCAGAGAAGAATGGATGTATTGGAGATTTAAAGGAATAGTTTGACATTTTGACCACTCTCCTGTCTGTACTTTAAATGAGAAGCTACAGGCAGAAGATGGTTAGCTTAGCTTAGCTTAGCATAACAGCTGCAAATAAAGGTAAACGGTTAGCTTGGCACAAATCTCATTCGTTTAACACTGCCGATATTTTAAATTAAACCACACTTTTCATTTCAGTATGAATAAATACACTGTGACTTTTCTCCTCATACCCCAGATAATATCCCAAATACATACATACTCCTTTTAAGTTTTATGGTTAGCTTAGCTTAGCTTAGCATAACAGCTGCAAATAAAGGTAAACGGTTAGCTTGGCACAAATCTCATTCGTTTAACACTGCCGATATTTTAAATTAAACCACACTTTTCATTTCAGTATGAATAAATACACTGTGACTTTTCTCCTCATACCCCAGATAATATCCCAAATACATACATACTCCTTTTAAGTTTTAAATTGTACTGTCAAATAAGTAATGTTATTTTCCAGCTGAATATCCCTCTCTTTTACAAACCACCTTCTGTACTTTGGCACTATTCTGAAATGCTTTCCATGTTAACAAGTTTAGCTACTGAGGAGAATGGAAGATATTTTACTGCTAATGTCGCACATATTGTACATTTGTAATGAGGCATAACATGAAGGTGAAGAGGGAAAGGAAGATGAGTGTGAACCTTGTGGAGAGCTGGTGCTAGGACGGGAATGAGGAACCCATTGTGGATATAACTAAGCAGCTGGTCTCTGATATCAGGGTGTGACACCTGGGAACAGTCAATATTAAGGCACATGTCAGTCGAGTTTGCAGTCAAGCATGAAGTTGCAGCCCTTTACCACGTGAATACATCTTTCATGTGACAGAGCCTTGTGCACTGTGCATCCTTGTCACACATATTCACCTGAGTAACAGCATTGCAGAACTCCAGAGAGTTGAGAAACTGGATGAGTGATGGCATCTGGAGCCAGTCTTCTTTGTGCAAACAGTGCCACTCTTCATTGGGAACCTCCAGCTTAGTGGGCAGAGAGGAGTACAGGCCGCTCAACCCTGTGGCTAGCACCTGAGGGGGGAAGAGAGGGGTCAAGGTCACATAAAAGGTTACATTACTCTAGACAAGGTCCCTAGCTAATTTGGGATAATTACTGACTCTTGGTCAGTTTTATCATTGTTAAATTAGTACACAGTATGTCAAAGAATATCTGAAAGAGTCAAAGAGTTTTTGAAGTCATACCTTGGTGATCCTCTGACTTTTCCCATAGTGCCACAATACCTCCTAAACAGTTTGGCACTAAATTCTTTAATACAATCACTGTGGCCAGACACCATATCATACCATTACTTGACATTTCATCTAATGCCAATGTGAAATCAACACTTGTTGTTCAGAAAGAGTTAGCTGTCCTGACAACTACTGAATGGATTGCTACGAAACGTTCTAGAGACCTTCCAATCGGAATAAATTGTGTCATTGTCCCCTTAACTTTTCTTCAAAATGCCAACGCCATTCCCATTAGTCTCAGCTTTGCTTTGTGTGATAATGCTAATTATCACATTTTAAAATGCAAACACACAAAATTAAGATGCTGAACATGGTAAAGATCATACCTGCTATGATGTGATGTTAGCATTTAGCTTAAAGCACCTCTGAGCCTATTAGCCTCACAAAGTCACTAGCTATAGAGCTTTAATCCTGTTATTATCTACCTATTTACCAAATTTACCAGTGATTACAGAGGTTCTGTCTGTCCAAGCAGACAGCTCTTACAGTTTGTCAAAGAGGTGGAAACAGGTTTGGGAAAAAAATATTTTTATAGCACTTAAACTCCTAAAAATCAGGCCGCAAATGTAGGTATCTTCTGATATCGGATAAAAAATTTAAAAAAAACTTACATGAAAAGATTATAGAGAATATTATGGACTATATTAAAAAGTAATGAGGCAGTGTATGGCCTAAATCATATACACTGATTCTCTGCTGTCAGTTTCACCCTTGGCTTCACACAACAGATTTATAACTGTTTGACTACTCACTACAAATCAAAATACTGTTATAAATAATTTCTTCTCCACTTTTTGATAATGGCATGCACGACAATGCATTAGCCTGCAAAACAACTTTACTGTTTGCCCTCATACATACAGATTTGTCAGTCAGGTCAGAAGCTTTTATAAATATTTGAGCAGCAGAGTGTTTTAGTGCCTATAACAGTCTTGCAATAAGCACCAAGATATGGTAGTAAGGTCACTAATAAATGCTGTAATGTCAACATACTCGTCATATAATAACATGATTCTGTTGTTTCTTTGTGGAGAAATATTTACAAACTGTGACTCCAAAAAAACAATAAAACTGAGCCTATAGCAGCACAGTTTGATTTAACTGTAAGAGTGCATCATTAGTGTTGTACCGATGAATACATCCACTATAGGATTATCCTTGTAGCCTGCCAGTGAAACTAATTCAGATTCCTGCCACTGCATCAAAAGCTATTTTTCAATACATTGTCACTGTGGCTCAATGGCATTGTTTACATTGGATTAGCTCACAACTGTGCTGTAATCATCTTATGAATGCCAGACATTTGCAACATTGAGTTTGAGAGATAAATCTGTTCTCAGAAAAGTCAAAGAATAGTAATGGTGCCGACAGCTGACTGACTAGAATTATTAAGGAAGAATTCCTTTCACTAACCGGACAGAAGTAGGTGTTCTGCGAGATGTGTCTGGCCACTCGCTCATTCTCAGCAGATAATGACATAATGAGCAGCAGGGCATCTCTGGCCTGCTGCCCCACTTTGCCCTCTCTGTGGATGAAGGGGATAAGCAGGGAGAAGATGAGGAAGTTAGTGGCCCCCTGATCCTCGCTGGTGTGAAAAAACAGTTCCAGAATTGAAGAGTCCTTTGCCAGAACGTAGCACAGCTGGTTGAGCAGCAGCACCAGCTCTGCTTCGACCACAGGCATTGTCGTGCCCGAACAAGAGGAGAGCAGCATCATGAGGGGCCGCAGGATGGGTTTGTGATGCAGCAGAGGCTGGCGCGCCTGCCCCACCAGCATCTCATACATCTTCAGCTGCTCCAGCTTCATGTCGTCTGTGAACTCCCTGCGGAGGCTCCATACAAAGAGACGCTCCATCACATTCTCCATCACCACAAACTCCAGAATGGGGCCCATGGAGCCCCCCTGACCGCTCTCTTCCTCCATCAACAGGAACAGCATGTGCTCCACATAGTTTTGCACAGCGCTGGCCTCATCTCCTGGTATAGGGCCAAAACGAGGGCCACCAATAGATCCAGCACTGAGGCTGAGGACACTCAAGGAGGGTATGGCGGAGCCGCTGCGCAGGGGATCATGCTTTTCTAGGATCTTCACCACCTACAGTACAATAAGAGGCAACAGTAATATTAATTAAACCGAACACATAACAATCCTATATTCATTTTCTTTTCAAGCAACAACTGCAGCTGCAAACTTTGCAAAGCTATAAGTTATTCTGCTTCAGCTACATCACCATTACATCTAAATAGAGACAAAATACCACAAGCTGGAAAATTTGACATCAAATTCTAAGTGATGCAAAGAGGACTCCACAATAATCAGTAAATCACCTAATAAAGCTGTGACAGCTGGCAATGATGCAGTAAAATACAAAGCTTTTTCATTAGAATGAAATGCTTTACATGTTAAATTAACCAATAAGTTTATCTTCTTATGTGAAGATGACTAAAAAGAGCAGTGAAGCAGCTCTTTAAATAGGATTGCATATACAGTAAATGATTCATCCATTCAGACTTTTCAAGAGTCTAGATTTTCATCTGAAAGTAGGATATGACAAAATTATATTGCAAAAATCTGTACTATGATGGTACAACTCAACATTTTTCATTATATATTTATAAAAATAGGTCATGTTTGTATACCATGTTAAATATAAACTGATATGTTGTAGGTAAATCTATTTTGTTGTTCATGACAGGTTAAGTATCAACAAATATGAGGTGCAAATAGAGCAGTACAGGACAGATGAACTCATTTGGTTAGCACACGGTGAAACAGCCCATTGTGTATCCAGTTCCTCCCTTGTGTGTCCATTGGGTAGAAACCAGAGTTACAATAATGGAGCCAGTGTCCCCTGCCTCCTGCTGCTGCCATGACAATAGCTGGCTGTACACAAGTGAAATGATGAAAACAAGAGAACAGTGTGTCTAATCCCTGCTTGAGCCCAGTGGGGCCTGGTCCAGTGGCCTGAGCTTCAGGGATATGTCCAGGATCTCCAGCCATTACTGAAGTGACAGGCAGGAGGCAGGGCTTTACTTAGTGGAGATATGGCTTGTGTGTGGCTGCCTGATGGCATAATACTGATATTATCAAGGTCAGCTGCACACAAGATTAAAGTTTATTAAATCATGATGCATATAGAGTAGGTACTTTATTTCCAAAGCAGCTGCTAATAAGCGTGTGTGTTTACTATCTGCAGTATAGATCTGCATTAGTCAGGATATGGGTCATAAAGGAGTGTTCAGTGGACCAAGCACTGGGCTCAGGCTGGATCAACATCAAAGCGACCAGGCTTTAGTTTTTAATCTGAGAACAAACTCTACACAAGGTAACCAGCTGAATAGAAGGTGTTGACACAACAGTGGGATCTGTTATGGGAGTTTACAGTTCCAGTGGACATTGTGTCCCCAGTACCACCCTTCCAGTGACGTTGTGTGCCAAGGGACGGAATAACATTTCTGCTCCAGGGATCAGATTTTCAGAATAAAAGCTGTTTCATGTGTAATCATCACAGGCCACAATCAGCAGGAGAAATCTGAGTGGGGAAAGTTCAACTGTAGCATTCACCACCACAGAGAAGCCCCTGAGCAAAGGCTTTGACTCTCAACTGCTCCAGTGAAAGTGCTCAGTGGGATGCAGATTAAACTGTGGTTATACTGGGCCGCCTCTAGGTGCAAGTAAATCTGTAAAACCGTATGATTGGGAACATGGCCAGTCTCAGTAAGTGAACATTATTCTCAGAGAAACATCAGCTGAAAAGAAAGTCCAGATTAGTTATGTACCAGATAAATTCTGAAACGCCATAAGGTGTCATGCTTTTAACCCAAGCCTGCACTTTGAAGTTCACTGACAGAGAGTCTTGACATCACAAAACATAAGTTAAAGTGCTTGACAAAGATAAGATCAATAACGATAAAACATGCAAGATAAAATATAGTAGGCATTGTTTTAATGCATATGTTGTGCATTATTCATACAACATGACATCATTCGCAGTGTCCGATTCATGCAGTGCTCTGCTTTGCCAATTTTGAAGGTGTTAACATTGCAAACTAAATCCCAAATATTAATATTACGAGATTATAACTGGGATAAAAGGATTAAACACAAAAACTGATTGTTTCAACTTTGTTCCCCCCTACACAAAACCTCTGCAGTTTTTAGTTGACAGATGTTCATAAAGGAAAATGTTCTTAAATGTACTGTAGATGGGATTGTTGCACATCACTACACAGAACCACCTTCATAAAACAGATTTTTTGGAGGTCATGTGGCATGAACCATGAATGGAATGAGTAAATGACGCTGAAGAGCCAAAGTCAAAGCCAAAGTAGCAAACTGCCCACACTGCACTGTCTAGAGGTAAAGACTGTTGGCAGCCACAGCAACAGATCACTTTGCATGTCACATCAAACACAATGAGCTCAGTGAGGCCTGGAGAGCAGCAGATAAGACACAGCAAATGAACATAAACCTAATCTTTCAACTCTGAACCAGGCAGAGCTTCTTACACAAGGGACAAGACCGGTATTATTTACAACACAGATTTGAAGGTTTTCTGTCCTGAAACCAAAGTCAGGAGCACTCTTATCAGGCTACACATTAACTAAGCCTAGAAATAAGACTCTGCAGGATAGGTACTGTGCTGCCAGTTTGCCTAAAGCAAAACTAACTTTAATCTGGAGAAGAAACTGGGTGTTGTCAGCTTGATTACAAAAACCTGTCCCAGTTTGACAGAAAAAAGGTCAAAAACAAACAGCTAGTGATAAACTTGCCACATTATTCAGACTCTGCATGTACTGTTTAGCATTTTAGTCGTAGTAAATACTGTCTTTTGTTTTCATGGTTAAAGAAAACTTCTGTGTAACCTGAATATTGAACCACCAAGTTATGATGTCACAAAATCCTGCTTATACATAACTCAGATTTATGGCCTACAAAGTAACTTTCTTCCTTCATCAGATACATTTTTGAAAAATCTAGAAAAAATCTGCACATATGTTTGTTTGCACAGTGATGTAAAAGTAAAAAGTAAAACATTTTTGAGTGAGGTCAGAGTAATGAAATCACAGTGGAATTAGTTTACCTGCCACCGCACAGAGCTGCCTCAACTGACGGAAAAGTCAGACCCCACACTGATGGCTGCTAATGTCGACATGCAGCTGACAGTTACCAACACACATTTCCATCCCCTGAATGTCTGGCCAGTGTCAGTGTGTGTAACTCTTGTTCATCTCAGTGTGGGAGGAGAAGGGGCTGCAGGCTGCCAGGTCCCCCAGAGGTGAAGAGGGACAGCGGCTGCTGCAAGAGGCCAAGAGTCTGCGCTAGTTGGCGTCACACTGCTAAGATTCCCCGGCCATGACCACACTGCAGTTTGTTGAGACTGGAGTCAGCCAGTCACTTTCTACTGTCAGGATTTCCAGTGGAAGTCAGGTAGAAAGTGTGCCTTTAGGAACAGCATTGCATTTGTTTCATTGCTAGTCCAGGTTTACTCTAATGTGGATACAGCATAAAGGGATAACTAGATAATTAACTGCACAGCAAAGACAGAATTAATCAAATTTGACTTTCTATAATCGCTGCCCATTTTGTGTGAAATAATTATACCTCATCAGAGGTTATTCAATTAAAAAAATCCAAGGTGTGAAAACATCACTTAAACTGTTCACACACACAAACACACACACACATCCAACCTGGGACAAGTAATGTGTTGGAAGCAGAGGTTAGTCCAAGACTCTCCAGAGGTCAAAGATAAACCTATCAACATTGTCTTATTTGCTTAATCTGCACCAGAAAAGAAAGGTAAAAATGACCGTTTGTGTGTGGGAAGCTGCAACTCTACCCAAAGTTTTGCTGTCAATGTGAAGTTGTCCAGCAACCAGTGAAAATGCTGTACAGGAAT